CTGTCCCCCTTTTACAATGCTGTTATTGCTAGTATCACTCAACCCCCTGTGAATAGTAAACAGCCATCAGTGTGCTAATGATCCATTGTTAGGCTGATGGTCCTTGTTGACCATGTGAGCAGCTGGTTTTGGTTGTCAGCAGCAAAACTGGTTGATCCACTCTGAGAAGGTGCTATTTAAGAGACTGAGCTGAAAACAGCACCTCAGACTGAGGAAGTCTCTTGGATGAGAGATGAAACGTTTCTATATCTATTTGCTTTGTTTTTTTTTGTTTTTTTTGAATGTCCAGAGGACCAGATTGAACTTTTTTGGATTTTTCTACCTGGATTATTGAGCATGCATCAGGATATGTTCAACATAATGGTACGTCCTCCAGTTATTTAACAGTCAACAATGGTGTAACACAAGGCTCTGTCTTAGGACCCACCCTTTTTACAATCTACATAAAGACTTGTGACATTGCTCGTTCATGGTGAGACGTATTGTCATTTCCTGTTTGTCTGTTGGTAGCTCGAGTGAGTTGTTTGCTCGAGTCGTCTCTGTTTTCTGGATTTATCTGTCTTTTGCACAGTTTTTCATTGTAGTTCACAAACACACTTAGTACAGTTGTTTTTCTACTGTTGGATAGTGCTTAAAACACCTCTTATCTTTCAACACTTCTCGGTTTTTATTGGTGTATTTGGCTCTGCTAGCTCCTGCTAGCGTTAGCTTAGCATGGCTGCTGCTTCTCTTCCTGCTTCCTCTGTTCTCTCTTGCTCCGTGTGTCAGATGTTTAGTTACTCCTCTGCATCCTTTAGTGGTAATGATACATGTAACAAATGTAGTCTTATGGTAGCTTTGGAGGAGAGGCTGTCTGAACTGGAAGCTTGGCTCCGTGCTGTAGAAAAACCAGTAGCTAGCCAGGTCCCCTTAGACAGCATGGAACCACAGAGGCTAGCTCCCGTTAGCGGTCCTCCAGCAGACCCCGAGCAGCCGGGACCCCAGGCCGGCTGGGTGATGGTCCGGAGCAAGCGTAGTGCTAAGGCTAAGCCCCCAGTTCACCACCGACCCGTTCACGTTTCTAATAGATTTTCCTCGCTCAGTGACACACCCGCTGAGAAGCAGACCCTGGTTATTGGAAGCTCCATAGTCCCAAACGTGGCTTTAGGGATTCCAGCGGCCATAGTCAAATGCATTCCGGGGGCCAGAGCGGGCGACATAGAATCTTATCTGAAACTGCTGACTAAGGCTAAGGCTAAATACAGTAAGATTGTTATTCACGTCGGCGGTAATGACACCCGGTTACGCCAATCGGAGGTCACTAAAATTAATGTTGCTTCAGTGTGTGACTTTGCTAAAACCATGTGGGACTCCGTAGTTTTCTCCGGCCCCCTCCCCAACCTGACCAGCGATGACATATTTAGTCGTATGTCGTCGTTTAACCGCTGGGTGTCCAGGTGGTGTTCTGACAACGACGTGGGCTACGTAGATAACTGGAGATCTTTCTGGGGAAAACCTGGTCTGATGCGGAGAGATGGCATCCATCCCACTTTGGACGGAGCCGCTCTTCTTTCTAGAAATATGGCTGATTTTGTTGATCCCCCAAATTATTGACAACCCAGGGTCGAGTCCAGGAAGCAGGGTTGTAGTCCTCCACACCTCTCTGCTGCTTCTCCTCTGTTACCCACCCACACCCACATTGAAACAGTGTCAACTCGCCCACGGCTCAAATTAAATAAACAAAAAATCAGCTCTAAAAATATAAACCATAAAAATCTTATTAAAATAAACACAGTTACTTGGTATGGTATGGTATAAAGTTTATTCATTTTCTAAAAGTACAAAACAATTCCATAACAATATAAAAAAAGATACAAAAGATTTAAAATGAAAGGCAGCAGAAAGAAGAAAAAATCTTATTATATCTGCCCCTTTTTTCAAACAATTATTTCAATCATAATAATCTTCAAGTAACAGTACAAAATGAATAACTCTTTCTAATATTTCTAATTATAATACAAAACACACACTAAGCTACTTCATATATACTTTTTTAACAATCCAGCTTTGATCTTTTTCTTAAATGTGCACATTGACTTGGCATTTTTCACATCACTCTCTAGAACATTCCACAATCCAACTCCTTGGATTGAGGTAGACCTTTCCTTCAGACTAGTTCTGAATTTTGGTTTGACAAATATCTCTATCCCCTTAAGATTATAACAACTTTGTCTTTTAACAACATTTCTTTGGATATTTAATGGTAATGTGTTATTTTGAGCCCTATACATAACTGATAAAATACTGTAATCTACCAAATCATGGAACTTCAATAAGTTCAGCTGATAAAATAATGTGCTTGATGG